CGGATTAATCCATTTTACATTGATTCCTATGGGAAAAAATGTTTCAGTTTTCAAACTTTTCCGTTCACGATCGGGCCTTCAGGAACGAACTGAGTTTGAAAACCAAGGTTCCACCGTAGCTGCACATTTCAAGCGAGTGTTTTAGTTGCACTGGTTTTGATGATAAGAAGAAGACATTTGAATTTTACTGACAATAAAACGTCTCTGTTCAGTCAAGAACATCTCACCTCTGTGGTGAAAGAGACCATTCCCGTCCACGAACACCACCTGCAGGCAGAAGATCAAAACACATTTGTTAAAAAAAAATATAAAAAAATGATGACGTGTGATAAAGTATTCATTAAAAAAAAACACATCATCATCATTGACATTGAGTACTTTTTGCATAAATGCTAAGAAACTGTGTTCATAATGATATCTCCGGGGGTCAGAAAAGTGGAAATCGATAACTGACATTGATAACGAAATCAGTAGTGTTAAAGTCTAATCAATTCCTATCCCTAGTGTTAAGATAAAACTATTTTCATGCTTATGTTCAACAGAAAAACAAACACAAGGTTTGAATTCAAATTCTCACACTGCTGGCTTTAGAACACAACACTGAACTCAAAGTCAAGAGTTTATTTAGTTTTAGTAACTTACTTCACCGCGTCGAAGTTAAAAAAAAAAAAAAAAAGAAGCATATGTTTGTATTTGTGTGTGAATGTGTGTGTTGCCGACAAAGACAGGGAAAGATGGAGCCGGAGTACGTGGGAGGACGAAGATGCGGAGGCTTCAACGAAGTGAACGGAGTGAGGGGGCGAGGAGGATTTGGAGAAACAAAAACAGAGAAGAGCTTTGTTACAGATTCAAAAAGGTATTCGGCAAGATGTGCGTGCGCTGCAGGTGAGAAAGAAGAGGAGCGAAGAAGTTAACCGTCTTCTCCTGGCTCTCTTTTCTCCTCTACTGTTACACCATCCATTCAATATGTACTGTGTCACTACCTCCAGAAATCTCCTCTGTACTTCATCCACATCTTCTCCTCCCGCCCCGCAGCTCCATCATCAACAAACTTTGTTCAAAATATCCACCGTCTCCTCGGCAACAGTGCTGTGTTTGGCAGTCTTTGTTGTTTTTTTTTTCCTCTCTACATTCTGACTTAGTCTCAATTCAGTCAATAAACCTGGTTTGGTTTATGTTGCTCTGGTCGATGAAACATCAAAGGTATTTTAGTCGGCTAAATTGGAATTTGATTTAGTCGACTATATTGGAATTAGATTTAGTTGACTAATTTAAAAATTAGGTTCAGTCGACTAAATTATAATTAGGTTCAGTTGAGTAATTTAGAATTAGATTTAGTCGACTTAATTGGAATTATTTAGTTGACTAAATTAGAATTAAATTTAGTCGACTAGATTCAAATTAAATTTAGTTGACTAAATTAGAAGTACATTTGGTCAACTGATTAAGAAGTTGATTTCAAAGACTAAATTTGTATTAGTTTTAGTTGATTAAGTTATCATTAGATTTACTGGACAAACTTATAATTAAGGTTTCCTTAGCTAAATTAGAATTAGATTACTAAAATGGGATGTGTTGATGTATATTTTCATCGCCGCCAGGGGTCGTTGTTAAACCAGCGTCTGATCAATCTATTCTGGATTTGCCCAGTTGTCTGTTAAATAGGTTTTTTGAGTTTAAGATTAAGCTAGGTTTAATTTCATTCCTTATTTACGAGGCAAATGTGTTTTGTGAATTTTGGCTATAAAACTAAAACTGACTTGACTCGACTAGACGTTTTACAGCCGCCTAAGAAATGCTTTATTTACTTGCTTTAAAAAAAAAAACAACCCAGACCTGAGGTTGAAGTCGTGGCTGCTTCTGCTGCAGTCGCTGCAGAGCTTCTAGCAGGAAAGGAGTTTCTCTGAAGGCCAGGAAACCTGCCACGTACGGAGCTGTCAGAGTCACCATCCGACTGTCTTCATACAACAGCTGCAAATGGAGGAGCAGAGAGAGGAGGAGGAGGAGGAGGAGGAGGAGGAGGAGGAGGTGAACAATGGATAAAAGTTTGTTTGTAAGATTTCTATTAAGTGAGCGTCCATAAGAGTGAGGGAATTTGCAACTGGTTTGCACAGACCGTGTATGGTACACTGTAGGTGCCTTGCTAAAAATGAGTTACACTCCCACGGAAACACAATGACTAAGACACTGTGTCATAACAAAAGTCAAATAGCTATTTCTGCATGTTATTTGCAATGTGATTTATTTCCTAACGCAATGGGGATAAAAAAAGGAACGGAGTCGATAAGATATATATCACCTTCAAGTCTGGGTAGCTGAGGACCACCAGCTGGGCACAGGCCCTGGTGTCGTCCCCCTTGATGAAGGACAGGTCCACTCCACCGACTCTCTCCAGTCCCGAGAAGACTGGACTCTTCTGCCAGTCCTCAGTGTCATGGTCCAAAACCTGCTGTCTCAGACGGGTCTGTTCACTGAACATGGAATTGAAGTTGAACTTTTATTAGGGAAAAAAATGGATGCAATCGAAGCCAGCTGTGTTTTGTTACTATAGGCTAGACCAGGGGTGTCAAACATAAGGGGACATGGGACAGAACTGGACCACAAGAGGGTTTAATCCCGACAGAACTGGACCACAAGAGGGTTTAAACCCCTTGATACATTTTGAAAGTAAAAAAAAAAGCACAAATGCTTCATGTTTTGAAAGTAAAAAAAAATGCACAAACGCTTCATGGTCATGTTTTGTAAAATGATATTTCATTAATATTAAATATGAATAGTATTACCATGACTACCTACTACGACAAACTAAGGCCTGGGCGCCACTCAGCTCTGTCCAAATTATATAACTGGTTTGTATTGTGATTATACTTTGGTGCAATGCCCCCATTTTCCCTATAGATGGCGTAGAGAAGGCTAAGAGCATTTTAGCCTTTATGCATGACTCTTGCGTGTCATTTATCTTAGTTCACACCAACACTCCATCTAGCTGCTATTGACTCGACCCGCCCTGTCAAATTTTGGGACAAATTTTGCCCCGTGAGTTTGCCCACGCCTGTACTATGACTACAACTGTACTTTTACTATTTATTATATTTTTATGTATGTTTGTGTTTTATATGTTTACTGTAGTAGCTTGAATGTTGACAGACTGACTCAAATTGTAATTAGCTTTGGATAAAAGCATCTGCTAAATATATTGTTATGTAATGTAATAATATACTTCACATGGAAACAAAGGCAAGAAACATGCATTTACTGTTACCTATAGGTGATTATGGTATGGTTGTACTGGACCAGCACACTTGACATGCAGTCACGCTGTATGTGGCCCTTGAACCAAAATTAGTTTGACACCCCTGGGCTAGACATATATATATTCTTGACAGGATAGTTATGCTGAGGTTCAGTTAAATCTGACGAAGGATTGATAATATTGACTTTAATTTGACTAATAATGGAAAAGGCGACGTTAAAATCTGACTGAGGCTGACAGAGAGTCTGGGTACTTCGAATAGGTGAGTAACTGAGACTACGAATAAATAAGGGAGAGTTTATTATGTTGAAGGAAAACGCGTGCGCACCAACGGACGTCTTTAGAACGCCGTACAGAACTCCACGTCGACTGAAAAACAAGGAGAACTGACAACTGAAGTTCTTCTAGTCGGCGGGGGACTAACAAGAGCTGACAAAATGCCAGAACATTCTGGAGTGGTGTGGTCTGTAACAGGCTGTAGCTTCGCCTTTATAAAAACACAGTCAGGACTTCTTCTCACCTTTCCCACTGTTGGACAAGACCTTCTGCAGGTGGAGCGGACATCTAAGTTATCTGTGCCAGCCTTAATAGCCAGGGAAACGGAAACAACGTGACCAAACGCTAGTGTTTTTCTTCCGCATACTGACGTCACCAGAAAGGCGGCACTTGTATGCAGAGCGACGGTCTTGTAGCGACGTACGGACAAAGGGTGACATCTTGTGGTTAAACTGAAAAAGTGCAGTAATAAATGCAGTTTAAAATGTCTTATTATTTAGCACCAATACCCGTATAACTGATACGTTTAATAGCATGACTAACACAACAATAATAATAATAATAATAATAATAATAATAATAATAATAAATAAATTACTATGTTTTGGCTAACGTTTGCCAGTTTTGTTGAACTATTATCATGTATTTTTATTGTATTTAGTTTGTGGTAATCTTAGCTAACCTCAACCTGAACTGTAATGCTGCCATGCTAAATTTAAGTAACATTTAAAATCAAAAGAAAAACAGAAGTGTAAATGTATACAAATACTGCTCACTAATGGATCAATGCAGAGACACACATTCAGATAATTTCTCATAATTCAAGTTTAATGTTTTCAAAACAGAAAGGCTCCAAATCCCGACATGTGATTTTTATTTCATTTTTTTTTTTACATTATTTCTCACATGAAGGTAAAGATATGCAACGATATCATGAAAAAGCAGACACAAAAACTGTCGCGTTGAACAGTTGTAGCCCTCATTTGTTAAAATCATTACATGAGATCCTGATGAATATGTTCGTGTGTTTTTTTTCCCCCTATGGCTTTACACAAAATACAACTTTTTTTTTCTTGTTAAATAAATTAGATTTAAAGTCTAAAGCAAAACTGGAGTGTAAAAGTGGAAAAACTCAGAACCAAAGGAACCGTTGAAGGCCTGGAAATCAAGTCTCCTGGAGAGTGGTGTAAATGTGGAGAGCTGGTGTGGAAGGTTCTGGACATGCAGCAGATATGTCTCCACAGGTCTGGTGGACAATGTTCTTTACTGACCTCAGATTGAATTCTCATGTCCAGCGGTCGCCTCCAGGTGGCAGGTCAACACAGCTGCCACCAGCCACATTTTAAACTCGTGTTTCATCTCCATCATATCTCTCATAATGACCCTGGGTAAAGGTGGTTCCTTCTGCCCCCTACTGGCAGTCAGATCTAAAGTATACAAAGTCATGAATGTGCATTTTGAAATGTTCATAAGTTGACAACTGGTCATTTTGTTACAGTGGTGATGATAACATGTTTATCCAAGTGACACTTACAAAAGGCTAAAAAATGGTGTTTATTGACACATGGCTCTTAGAATGGCTATTTATTTCACTTTGTTAAATAATAATAGAACCTGTAAACCCAACCACCATGTCAACATGCAGTAAGTCCCTGTTTCACCTTATCGGGTTTTTAGCCTTGACTAAAACAGTAACAAATCATAGTAACATTCATCCCTAATGCACTCTGGAATCTCAGAATCAATCAAATCAATCAATCAATCAATCACAGCATTTCTGCAATCAATCAATCAATCAATCAATCACAGCATCCATAAGCACTGCAAAAGCCCCAACAGCTACTTAACAGTTAGCAAGCGCTAACCAATGAGTAGCAAATCCACAAAACAAAGACCAGATCCGACATAATCGGGAGTTCCTTAATTCTTTACAGAAGAGCAAAAAAAAAAAAGTGGTGATGTTGAAGTGACGTCTGTCCGTGTGTCTGACAAAATAAAAAACAGCCACGATGAGGAGGTGATGAAGAAGAGGAATCTTATTTCATCAACGTGATTGTGTGACACTTCTACCTTCACTTCAAGATCTTCAAAGGTTTCTAGGCCTCAGCTTACATCTTAAAGAAATGTACCAGAGCAAACAAGCTTTTGCGCAGGCACAGAGGCATCAAAGTCTGGTTTCGGCTAGGAAGCCACATGACGGCCTCCAAGTTTTCTGAAGCCCAACAATCAAATAGGCCGACAAGTAGTTGTATTTGTCTGATTAGGTTTAGCTTGTTCGCTAACAGCAAAACAATTAACTCTAGAATACGAATACGCTAAGTCATGCTGGGCTTCTGTTGCTGTCTATGTGGTCTCACAATAAGTTGAATTGATGGCAGCACCTTGTGTGTGTGTGTGTGTGTGTGTGTGAGTTCTCCTCAACCTGTCCGGTAGAAGTTCTGAAAATGTTTTTTTTTTCTTACTACCTTCTAACCCTAACCTAGCCTAACGTGGTAACAGAAACAGTAAGTGATAGCGATGATGCCACACAGTTTGAGCAGTTTACTGGCTCAGTTTAGCCCCTCTGTCAGGTCTGACCTCCTGTCAGCACACCACAAACAAACATCAGCCTCAGTCTCCACAGCACCCGTGATCTGTCACACACACACATCTAGACCGAAACTTCACTCACCTCACACAATAGAAATTTATTGTTATTGCTTCTAGCGGGTTAGCTTCTCCCCGCTAACCGTCGCGCTAAGGTCAAAGAGTCTTGCCTTTTTCAAGCCCTCTAGAGACATCACTAAATACTACACACATGCAGGTGACCTTTGACCGAGGTCGAGTTGGGCCGCAGGACATACTTCCCGGCTCTGTATGAATGGCTTGGTTACTGTTCCAAACATTTTGCGCCTGCGTAGATGACTCATTCCCAAAGGTTGGAACATTTTCTTCTCTTTGCTTTTTGGATAACCAAATAAAGATCTTTATAGCTTATTAAATAAATGCTGGTTGTTTTGTTGTCTCTCTGTTCATAAGAATTTGAATAATAAATCACAGAATAAATTTAGAGAATCTTAAAACAACTATTGTCAATATATTATTATCAAATAAGGAATATTTATGAAAAATGGCTGACAATGATGTACTACGAACGCATGTATAAAAGTTTGGTGGACTTACGTGTCAAACGCAAGGATTTAAAGACACATGGACTTTCTGACCACTTGATGGCGCCATCTTGTTGTGTCCTTGCATAACCCATTACTGCTCTGAGTAAGTCCTCTGCTGTAATGAAATGTTAAGACAGTACGAACGTGCCAATAAGCGGAATCCTGGAAAGCATGACCCGGGCCCAAACGTTTACCCACGTTTCCCAAGATTCGACAAAACACTGCCGATTTTTCAAAGTCCTTAAGACCTTGTTCCTGTGCATATCTTGGTCATGTGTGTTTGCGCACGTAACAGTTTCTCCAATCCTTTCCAGCCGACACAGCGCTGACGTCAGCCATCTGTGTGTACTGTGCGTTTGAATGTACATGTAAAAATGCATATATATATATATATGTGTGTGGGTAACAGCGCCTCCAGTGTCATCATCAGGTCCCGCCACTCTCAGAATAAGAAAATATTGCTTCTTTCAGCTTACCGTGGTGCAACAAAGGCACCGTGAGACTGACTGTCAACCCCTCACCTTACGACCTTACGTAGCATTTCGCTCGCGTTCCTGCTGCTGCCGAGCAAAGGTGCCAGGCACGAGAAATATGGATGACCTTTGTGCAAAAAATCAGCCCTTTAGAAATTGTACTGTTTGTTTTTTTTTTTTCTCTTTTTGATGAATTCCTTGTTTTCTGTTTGTACAAGCATGCTTCAGTCCCACAGAGACTGTGCTGTGCATAAGGACTGAGTCCAGAGATAAAGGGGACGGTGGGTGGAGAAGAGGATGGACTTCAGTGGTTTACAGTAAAGGTCAACGCAGGAGAAGGGGTGGGATTGAAGACCTAGGCTTCCCCCCCCCCTTCTTCTACCTGGAGATCATGGAGCTGGACTGCGACTGAACCGACGAGGTGGTGGCGGCACTGAGCTGAGAGAAGCCGCTGTGGCTGGACTCCAGGCTGGTCATCGAACCCCTGAGGACGGGAGACAAGGAAATGAGGGAACATGCCTGAGAATATGTATCTGTTGGTGACAAACTGAATGTGCGTGTGTGTACGTGTACATGTGGAACTCTGAGAATATGTATCTGTTGGTGACAAAATGAATGTGCGTGTGTGTACGTGTACGTGTGCTTGTGTTGCACAACCATGCAGCCAAGTTACACCAACGCGAAGAACAGTAACCCCTGTGAATCCAAGTCTCTAAAAGTTGCAACACCAGCGTGCAGAACCGAGGTGAGGAATTTTTAAGAACAATTTTATGCTTTCTAGCTAAAGAGTCCCTGCGTTAAGTCCTAGCTGTGTCTTGTGCAGGCACAGAGGCATTGAAAATACAAAAACACCATCGCATCAGTGTCTTCTTTGACTGATTGGGCAAACAGTGATCAAAGATCAGGGTAATCTTAGATCTTTTTTTGAACGTATTTGAACTCGATTCATATTAATGAAATAAATCAAATTAAAAAAAATAATTAGTTGAATTTTTTTTTTTTTTTTTTAGTAATTACTAGACATTTCAGGCAACCCCATTTGAATTCCAGGCAAATCCACATGGGGCTGCGATGATTGGATGATTCCATTTTAGTTCAATGAGTGACAGCAGTAGGGCCACACCATTAGTTTAGGTTCCAAAAACCCCAAACCAATACCAGCAGACCACCATCAAAGTAGGAGGAAAATAATAATAATTATTATACTTACGATGTTTTATTTATGTTTGTAAAATGTTATTTAATAAAACTGCACCGTCCGATATCATTAGAACAACTTTGATGGTGATCTGGAGACTGAGGTCAAATAAAAAAAAAACAAAAAAACAAAAAACGGAAATAAAATTGACAACAGATGTAGAAAAGTTGGTGTTCGACATTAGTGAGACGAGAGAAAAGACAGAACGTGTGTGTGCTTGTCCGTGGATGCCGCATCGGTGTGTTTTAGTGTAGATGCAATTCAAAGACTTATCGTAGTTAGTCATGCAGACGGGGGAGTTAGCCTTGTTGCCAGGACACTTGTTCCGGCATGACTGAAGCAGCGACCAGTTAGCCGGCAGCTTTGAAAAAATGCTAACAATATTAGCATCTCTTTGCTGCAGCGGAAGCACAACTGCCATTGGAGGGTATGGAGGAGCTTTAGGTTTAGTTCTGCAGCCAAAAGCAGCAATGCTTAGCTATGGTGCTAATAAAAAAGGAAGGGGGGGAGGGGGTAAGAGGGGGGGGGCAGACACTGAGCCACTTACAAACTCTGCACATCGCAGCAAGCGGTTCTTAAGACAGAACGTACAGCAGGAGGAGGAGGAGG